GTATTGCACTTTGACTATCACATTTAACAGTGATAACTCAACCTTGAAGTTTTAGCTCCTTTGCAAAAACCTTCAAGCCACAATGCTTCCTTCACAGCTTCAGTTAGGGCAATATACTCCGCTTCAGTGGTTGGTAAGGCAACGACCTTCTGAAGTGTTGCTTTCCAACTGATTGATGTCCCAAACATAGTGAACACATATCCAGAGATAGATTTTCTAGAATCCATACAACCTGCATAATCAGAGTCGACATATCCTTCGATTGCTGCTTTACTATCTTCACCCAAGGCTCCACCATAAATTAGGACTCTATTCAGAGACCCATTTATGTACCTTAAAATCCATTTACAGCTGACTAACATGGCTCCAGCAGGTTTCTTGATCAGTTCCCAGGTGTTGTTATCATGAAGAGATTTCATCTCATCATCCATGGCCTTCATCTAGAACCTCGCTAGCAGAGATTAAGGCATAAGTTATAAGATCTGCATACCCAAGTCTCTGAGGTGGCTTGATGACTCTCCTTGACCTGTCTCTTGCTAGCAGGTAGTCATTATCAGTCTCCTCATCTTCGACAACATCTTCTGCGTCTTCTTCGACTTCATTTGGGGTAAGCAATTCAGTATCAACATGCTCCACCTCAACAGGAATCTCTCCCTGTTCCAGCTCTTCGTCAGCATCATCATTTTTCTTGAAAGCGATATCTGCTTCATTGAAAACTACATCTCGACTGGTGATACACCTCTTGTGACCTGGCTCTAGGCACCATAACCTATAAGCTTTGACTCCTTCAGGGTATCCCATGAACATGCATTTTAGAGCTCTAGGTTCGACCTTGTCTTGCCTAATATGAGCATAGGCCACACAACCAAATACTCTCAGTTTGTCGAGACTAGGTGGATGTCCCAACCAAACTTCTTCAGGTGTCTTCATTCCCAAGGCAGTCGAGGGACATCTATTTATCAGGTAAGCTGCTGTCAAAACAGCTTCCGCCCAAAACACCTTCTTCAATCCAGCACTAACCAACATGCATTTAACCCTTTCAAGGATTGTTCGATTGAATCTCTCAGCTAAGCCATTTTGTTAAGGAGTACCTGTTACAGTCTTATGCCTTGCAATCCCAGACTCAACATAGTAACTGTTGAACGTTTCGTTGCAGAATTCAAGGCCATTGTCGGTTCTCAACCTCTTAACCTTTCTTCCAGTTTGAGTTTCGACCAGAATCTTCCAACTTTTGAAATTCTTAAAAGTTTCATCCTTTGTCTTCTGAATGAATACCCATAGCTTTCTGGAATAGTCATCAACGATGGATAGAAAATACCTTGCACCTGAGTGTGAGGGATTCCTTGCAGGCCCCCAAAGATTAGCATGAATGTAATCCAGGGATCCATGTGTTCTTTGCTTGCCTTTGTTAAACTTCGCCCTACAGGATTTACCAAATACACAAGATTCACAAAATTCCAACTTTTCGACTTTGTCACCTCCTAGCAGGTTCTGCTTCCCCAATTCGACCAGCCCTCTTTCGCTGACATGGCCCAATCTCATGTGCCATAATTCTGTCTTCGACATAGATTTCGTGGATGCAACATTTGTCGAACCACTTACAACCTCAGCCTCAAGGGTATACAAGCTTTGTTTCTTCATGCCTCTCAAGACTTCCTTCGACCCCTTCATGACTCTTAGGATACTTTTCTCTCCTTGAAAAATGTATCCTTTTCTGTCGAATTCACCAAGAGAAATCAAATTTCTCTTCAAGTCAGGTACGTACCTGACTTCAGTCAATAACCTTATTGACTCATCATGGAGCTTGAATCTCATAGATCCAATACCTGCAATTTTGCAAGATTTATTGTTTCCCAGCAGCACAGATCCACCATCTTGATCACATAGCTCCACGAACAAATCTCTGTTTGGAGTCATGTGCCAAGTGCAACCTGAATCTATAATCCACTCTTTCCTCGAGTTGCCACTTGAAACCTCAAGAACATCAGATGAGTCGAAGTCATCTTGAACAATGGCTGCATTCCCATTACCCCCATGATCTTTCAGGCATTCAGGGCACACCTTTCTTATGTGACCCTCCTTCTTACAGTGATAACATCGAATACTAGATGTTTCGCCACTATAAGACTTCTGTTGACTTTTACCTTTCTTCTTGTCGAACTTACCATCCTTTCGCAAGAATTTTCCCTTAACGGCCAAACCTTCGCCCACCGTCGAAGGTTTATGCTCCTTTCGTTCGTTCAAGTCCTTAGAATACAAGGCTGATTGAACTTCTTCAAAGGCCAGGGACTTCCTTCCATACAAGAGAGTTTTTTTTGAAGTGAGCATGTGTTCTGGGCAAAGCACACAACAGCAACAGTGCTTGATCTTCATCATCGATCTTCACATCAATATTTTCAAGATCAAGAATCAGCTTCTTGAACATATCCAACTGCTCAGCTAACACTTTATCTTCACTCATCTTGAATGAATATAAAGCTTGCTTCAGGTAGAGTCGATTCACTAGAGATTTGGTCATGTACAAACTTTCAAGTTTCACCCATAATCCCGATGATGTAGTCTCCTTTGATACCTGTCGAAGAACCTTATCACCAAGGCTCAACAATATTGCGCTGTGGGCTTTCTCGATCATGTTCGTCTTTTCTTTTGCCGTTAATGCAGCGTCTATGGCTGCCTCACCCTTTAACGCTTCCAAACAACCCTGCTGAACCAATAGGGCTTTCATCTTCAAGCGCCACAGACCGAAGTCGTTCACTCCGGTGAACTTTTCAATCTCATACTTTGTTGAATGCATCTTCTCCACGCTCACCGCACCAATTTGTTGTGAATCAGATACCTTTAAACAAAGTATAAACAGTTTCTTAGCAAGAAACACACAAGGGTTAGGGTTAATAAAGAAGAAAACAACAAGGATTGGTTATTAAACTGCTATTCTTTCCTTTCTCTTAGAACAAGATTACAAGTATACAAGAATAACAAAATAACCTCTCTCCCTTGAAATTAGGATTTTATCTTCCTATTTTTCCTTATTCCAAGATTGAGAAACTAGCATCCTATTTATAAGAAAAATAGCACACTAACCTAATGGGCTTTTTAACAATTACCCATTACAAGCCAACTTAGGGTACAAGCTAACTTAAACAGTTGGGCTTACAAGCAAGGCCCAATTCAACATGCTAACAACCCTAGCAATATTGACTAATGCATGTTAGAACAAACTTCGACTACAACACGCATTACTTGCGAACAGAGTTCGATCCAACGTCTCACAGTTAGATTTAGGTTTAACATCCACGTGGGTATCAGATCTTAATGCTTCGTGTTGTCGAGTCGCGTGAGACATCATTGATGAGGCGATGTGGTTGTTCTCTCAACTTTGCGTTATATATAACTTTTGTTGTGACCGATATACGTGGGGTATTGACGAGTGATTTAGGTTGCGTACAATTGATTGGTAAATTTTTTAGTACTTGATGGGTAAAATAAAATACAATGCCAGATGAATTATTTCCCGTACTTTATTTACTTGTCATTTTTTTTTTTGCATTCTACTGTCACACCATTTAAGCCAATCTTAGAGACGTAGAGATTATCGAATGACATTCTTTCCCTCGCACCGATCTCTGTGGAAACGATATAATTCTCTGAAGGAATTCTTCCAAATCTTTTACTTCTTGCCGCTATATTGCAGTAAGAACATTGCTATACCAACTCGTACACATTTGATACCACGTATTCAATTATTTTTTTGATGATATAATTTAGATTTTTTTTTACTAAGTAAAAATTAAGGTAATTGTTCTATTTAAAAATGTATAAATTTAAAAAAATTATACTAACGTATACATATCTTAGTTTTTTTAAAAATAGCGTACCGTACCAATACACATATCAGAAACTAGATCCGTACTTGAAGCTATGCAATACACTTACCATAAGCAACATAGTTACACCAACAATTACTACCCTTCAATACTTGAACAATAATAACAACAAACGCATGCCAAAGAACTTCATTTCACCGAAATATTAACAGGTGTAGATACGACAATTTTGTCATGAAATAAACAGTATTCTAAAATAACCCTACAATTATAAATCTCCTATCGTATTACCTATGAATCACGGCCGGAAACCATCACTGACACTGACATATCTATATCAATATTAATTTGAATAAGTAAATGAATTAAACCTAATCAAAAGTGTGCCAACGTAAATGCAATCCCTCTGTTGTTCAAGGTTTTTACTCACGAAGCTTCGGTAAGTTTTTTTATGTTGTTTGCATAGTTGTCTCTCACTGTTTGCTAAGTACTTCCATTTTTAATTTCTGTTGCTCGTTGTACTGCAGGAATTGAATCCTTCCATCTCCTCTTCAATTGCTATATATGTTTCTTCTTCTTGAGGTGGGTTTAGACATTTCAATTTTGTTATTCTTGTTGTGTTGTTGTTTTTAGATGTTCCTTTCTTCATAAAACTTGTGGCATTGTTGTAATTTCTTCCGTAAAATGTAGTTCGATCCTTCTTTTTTTACAATTTCTTCCAAACGGTGAAATTTCCATGTGATGGAACAAGTTAATGGAGTTTCTAAGAATTCATTGACATTTGACTAAATGTTATTAGAGTCGCGTAGATTGGTTGTTAACTTGTTATCATGAGGTTGTAAAAGGATTCTCCATATTCTGTTAATGTGATGTCAACAGTTATTTACCTGACTGGGTTATTTGGCAAAGCTCTTACTTGATTCGATTTTTACATGAATTTTGTGAAACAGCAGTTAACATGGTATTGGGTTGATCACATAATATGATGAGTTCGTGTAATCGTAGTTTCTTATGTATACTGGTGCTACAAGTATTGCAGATGTGATAGTAATTAAATGTAAAGAAGAAAGAAGAATAAGATTAACTCTAAATAATAATTTCATTGTATTTATAATATACATTGATAGATAGATGTAGTTTAGGTTGATTTACATAAATAGAAAGTCCGGATGGAAGTCAAACAGTAGGGTAAGATGCTTGCATTGCAATGCCACAGAGTCCTTCAACAGCATCGATTCCCCTTTGCATCCTAATGTATCCTTGTTCACCCCAATCAGCTCCCCACGAGTTCTTAACCAACCAATACTTGGTTCCATCACTACTAACATCATAACCCACTGCAGTAACCCCGTGATCCAACTCAGTTCCACATGAACCAGTAAAAACACCGCTTTTATAAAATTGGAAATCAGACCCACTAGCATCAATGGCTACAGATATTGGTTGATTAGCCACAGCTTTTTGCAGTGCCTGCTCATTGTTGGCAGGGACATCTTCGTACCCAGTAATGGTAGCCGCTTGGGTTGATGCTTGGTTTGCACTACATGTTCCGTCAACACCTTGATAGGGGTATTGAGCTTCAGTGGTGAGTCCATGATTTTGAATGATGAATTTGAAAGCATCATCCATAAGACCACCCTCACAACCTTGGTCTACACCTTTTGTGTCGCAATCAACAAGTTCTTGTTCTGATAAAGACACCAATTTTCCTGTACTCAACTGATGAATTCCTTCTGTTGCCGCAACAGCAGAAAATGCCCAACAACATCCTACAAAAAAAGGTAATAAATTAATATTAACTAGAATTTGACCACATAATCCTTAATTGTTAGATAGACACTTACCACATTGGCCTTGATTCTTCACAGGTGTCACAGCTCCTTTCTTCCTCCAATCGACCGAGGATGAAATTACACTTGCATTTTCATACTTAAAACTAGTTGTCCTTGTGATTGAGGAGCACATATGCCCCTTGAACTTGTTTCTAGATGTTGTGAACTCCTCGTTCGTCAGGTCTGCAAATTCATTAATGCCTAATTTGTATGATTTTGCATTGTTGGATGCTTCAATGTAGTTTACATTTTCTGTGAATATCTTTAGACGTTTCTCCATTTCTTGAGGATCCTTATACACTTTGCCATACTGACTCATCCATTCTTGATGCCTCTCATATATAGACTTGTCTCCAAGACTGCGACAACTCACTTCAAGAGCCAACAGTCCCAAGGACAAAACCAACAATGCAATACTATGATTTTTGACACCCATTATATATACTTACTCAAGTGTCTTCTTAACTTGATTAGTTAGCAGTTAAATGCCAGAAAGATTTGTGGTGCTTATACTTAATAATCTTTCTTCTATTTATACTTAGAAATTTAATGAAAAATTGAATAGTAACAAACTCAAAACAAATTTATATTCAATAACTTGTTGCGTATTCCGGAGAATTTTCTGAATGGGACCTTTGTTTGAGTAGGTTGGTGATATGTACAAATTTTTGGATTATAAAACTATGTCAAGTGTGCTAAATTACAATGCGTTAAAACTGATCCAAACGACACTTTCTGCGTTGCAAATATTTAGGATTATAAAAATAAAGCTTTCTCAATCACCAATTTGCGCATGAACAAATTGGTTGTTACGTTAATAAACTTTGACATGTCGTTTGTTTTAGAGAAAATAATAATAAGCCAAAGGAAAAATAGATTCTATTAATAAAGAAGAAGACCAACAACAAGTTTAGCTTACATTCTTAGGATATGCAACAAATTAAGTGGATTATTCTTTCTATTCCATTGGATGTGATTCAGACTTCTGAAAATGCGATAATATTATTATTTTGTTTGGAAATGTATCTAAATCACACAATTCATTTGTAATTCCGAGATACATCTCTAAATATTATTACACATCATATTTTTCCAGAAAGATACATCTCAAATATTATTTTGATGTATCCAATGCATCTCTATAACACCTCATGAATGCTTTCTTAGCAGCTAGATTATCTTAAATTTGATTTTTTTTAGGCCAGCATATTTTAGATATTTTTGGCCATATTTTAGAAAGCAAAAATTAATTATTTCAATCATACTACACTACTATGAAAAAAAGTAATTACCAAAATTTACCAACCACAAATAATTTGTTTTAAAAATACAAAAATAAATAATAATAATAATAATAATAATAATAATAATAATAATAATAATAATAATAATAATAATAATAATAATAATAATAATAATAATAATAATAATAATAATATCAAACATAAACTGCTAAGTATGTCAACTTTTCCAACTTCTCCTCTGTCTGTACAGCAAGGTATTCTGTATCTCGGCAATCATGTATTTTATAAGGGTCAACTAAGAACTACCTTTCTCAAAAAGTCCAACCTCTATATCTGATCTACCCATAATCATAATACGCTGACAAACCGTCATAATATTTGGTGAGCGATAAAACCTCATAATATTTTCATCCTTGATGAATGTGTGCATGTATGTGATTCATTTTGGATTTGTATTACTTTAGAAGTTTTGATATGTGTTTTGCACTTAGCAATTGTTTCATCTTCATGATTTGGTTAGAATTGTGGTAAGTTTATCTTGTTTGTATTTCTAATATTTGAACCATGAAATTGTTGGTTAAACTTGTTGGTTCCGATTTCTTGAATGTTTTTTTGGTTTCTTTTATGTTTGACGATTTTTTGTTAAGGGACAAACAAAATTCTAAGTTGGGTAGAGTTGTTAAGGGCCAGATTGTGTATATATTTGATAGCATTTTGTGTCCCTTTCCAATTGATTCTTTGGTAACTTAATAGTAAAACCATAAGTTTTAGTGTAAATAAGTAAGTTTTAGAGTATGCAAGTAAATAACTTCAATCGTGATCATTTTGATGCATTTTTATAGGATTTCTTGCTGGATATGATGTTTGAGCATGTGGATGATGGAAGGGGGTTTGGAAGATCATTTTTGCGATAATTTGACTGCAAACCGCGCTTAACGCATTTTTCAGCGCAGGATCAGCGTGCTTTTTATAAAGAGGCAGTAGCTAAGGGACCGAGACCGTGCTTAGCGCGCTTCTGCATTTATGACGCCTTTGTTATTGACCGTGTTAAGCGCGCTCTGAGCTGGCTTAGCGCGGTGACACTTGATGGCACCTTTTTGAAGACATGTATAAAAGGGGACTTGCTAGATATTTTGTGAACACACTTCATTTTATTCACTTTTCATATTTAGATAAGATATTTTAGGGTTTGAAGCTTAGAAATTCTAAAAGGAGTAAAAATCAAAGCTTTTGAGCATCAATCTTCGATATTTCGATTTTGATGCTAGTAGAGCTTTCTTTTTTATTTTTTGAACAAGCTACCATGATAATGGGTAGCTAATTTTCTCTGTATCAAAGGTAGAGGTAGTCTACCTTAACTTTTATGTATATCTTTTGATTGGCCTTGTATGTGAACAAGTGATGATTAATGTATGATGAATGTTTTTGTTCTTAAAGATCCATTATTGATTTGTATCACTCTAGATATAGATTTTCCAAATTTTGATCTAAGTTATTCATGTATCAACAAACAAACTCTAGACATAGATTTGTAAGTTAATATTCGCTTTGTGTTATTATTAACGATTATTGTATGGGTTGCTAGCATGAGATATCATCTAATGACGGATACAATAATATTCACGACACTGCTCTAGACATAGACGGTATTGAGAGAATTCTATGATTTTTTGTGATTCATGCTTGTTATGGTGCAATGTCGTGATTGTATGTTGGTATTCTTGTTGTGAATGAATCATATATGGTATTGGGTTAAAAAACCCTTAGATTTCCATCAAACCTCTGATGTGTTTATGCAGAAAATGGCGCTCTCACCGAGCGAGCTTTGGCGAGTTCGAGGGGAGCTATTTTCTATCAGCGTCACTGGGCAAGCTTTGACAAACTAAAAGCGAGCTAGCTCGCAGGTTGCTCATCGGGCGACCACTATGCCAGAATTGACTTTTAGCAGTGCATACAAAGACAGCGCTTTTAGGAAAAGCGCTGCTAAAGAGTAATAAAAAAAAAGAAAAAAACAGCATACCTAAGACAGCGCTTTTAGGAAAAGCGCTGCTAAAGGGCTGCTAAAGGCATGAGCTAAGACAGCGCTTTGGTAAAGCGCTGCTGTAGATTGGTCCTAAGAAAGCGCTTTTCTAAAGTGTTGTTGTAGGGTGTGCCAAAGAAAGCGCTTTCCTTCTAAAGCGTTGCTATATCCATGGGCTAAGACAGCGCTTTTGAAGCGCTGCTGTAGGTATTAAAAAGCGTTGTCATAGCTGTTATTATTATTAAAATAAAATATCACAGAATTTTAAAGAAAGCGTTTTCCTTGTAAAGCGCTGCTATATGGTTTTTTAAAGAAAGCGCTGCCATAGGTGTTATTATAATTAAATTAAAATATCACAGAATTTTTTAAAGAAACATAACACATTGCTAGCTCGCGCGCGTACGTTCTTCATTCTTTCTTTCTCCTCTCTACGAACCAAAACCCTATTCACCACGACCGGCCGTCGCCCTCCTCCGCCCAACTGTCGTGCCTCCGTCGCCCACCTCCGTTCAGCCTGTGTTGCATATCTCCTTCATTTGACCGTCCATGCTACTGTAGTTTTAACCTTCTTTTCACGAATTTTACTTTTTCTTTTGTATGATTACGGTGAAGAACTAATCATCCAGAGTCAATCTACTATAATCGCGTTTCCAAAGCTTTGAGGTTTTTATTCTATCAACTCAGTTTCGTTTCTCTCTCAATTATATTCTATGAAATTAAATTTGCGTAATCTGTTATTTTGTGGAATGTTTTGATTTAATTCGTATGATTGTATTCCTAACTTTTAATCGCTTTTTACATCGTTTAGTCGTTAAATTACGTTTCTATATCGTGTTTGCTTAATTCACGATTGTGTTTATCCGTTTGCTTAATTCAGAATATAGGAATGTCGATATGTTTAATATCTTAGTTCCCTTATCATTTGATATTGAAATGGAATAGAGATCGAAGCCGCTTAGGGAATTGGTTAGGAAAAAACCCAGTGATTAGTCGGAAGCCGGAACAGTAGATTGGCTTATTTTTATAATCACTTAGTTGCACTATTTTATAAATCAAACTTAAAACCCCTATAAACCTTTTCTTTGGTTGGTTAAAATAATACAAGAATCCTTGAGATACGACTCGAGTCATTGTCGCTTTACTACTTTTCAAAAAAAAATACTCGTTTTTGATCCGTGCGCGACAGCGGGTCAATGATGAAGATCAAGCGGAATTGTTGTTGTGCTCTTTACCTAAGTCTCATGCTCACTTCAAATAAAATCTCTTGTATGGAAGAGATTCATTGTACTTAGAAGATATTCAGTCTGCCTTGTATTCTAAAGATTTGAATGAACGAAAGGAGCATAAACCATCTTTTATTGGTGAAGGTTTATCTATTAAGGGGAAATTCTTGAAGAAAGATGGTAGTTTTGAGAAGAAGAAGGTAAAGTTCTACAAAATTATTATGATGGTAATGCTCATACTATTAAGTGTTATCACTATAAGAAGGAGGGTCATACAAGAAAAGTATGCCCTGATCGACTAAATGATCATGATGGAAAGGATAATGGTAATGAAGCCATTGTGCAAGATGGTTATGAATCATCTGATGTCATAGTAGTTTCAAGTACCGGCTCTAGCAAGGAGTGGATTATATATTCAGGGTGTACTTAGCGCGTGACTCCAAACAAAGACGTGTTTAAGGAATTGTGTGATCAAGATAGGGGTCGTTGTTAGGAAACAACAAAGCTTAAAAAATTATAGGTATTGAATATGTGAGATTCAAGCTCCATGATAAATCAATAAGGCTATTCATTGATGTTAGGTATGTACCTGATCTTAAGAGGAATTTGATTTCTCTTGGTGAATTTGACAAGAAAGGATATTTTTTCAAAGGAGAGAAAAGCATCCTAAGGATAATGAAGGGGGTCGAAGGATGTCTTGAAAGGCGTGAAGAAACAAGGTTTATATGTCCTTTAGGGTGAGGTTGTATGTGGTTCAGTAGATGTGGCATCCATAAATTCTATGTCAAAGACTGAGCTATGACACAAGAGACTTGGCCATGTCAGTGAAAGAGACTTGGTCAAATTGTCGAAACAAAATCTGTTACGTGGTAACAAGTTCGAAAAACTGGAGTTTTATGAACCTTGTGTATTTGGTAAATCCTGTAGAATGAATTTTAACAAAGGTAAA